CTTTAGTAGAACGTCGGAAATCTTAAGGAATTCGAGACCGGTGGAAGTTGGCGTACNCGTTGAATCAAAATTGGACAGCTGGATGGTAAGGGGAGGATAGAATGGTGATATTGATCAAAATCTGACGTCTCAAAGTATTTTATTTTTAGTTTTTTTAATATAAATTGTATGAAATTTTTAGTTTTTTTTTATATAAATTGTATGAACATGAAATTTGGTATGTGACATCTTCTCATTGGGGCGCACCTATAAAAAACATTAAAAATAATTTTAAGATGAAATATAATAACCAAAATACCTTTTAAAATTTTCAAGGGTATTTTGATCATTTTATTTTATTGAAAATATTTTTTTTATATTTTTCGCTAGTGCAAATTTATTAGAGGAATGGACGTCCAAATTTTGGTGTCCAAATAGTTTATATAAAAAAATTAAAAATAAAATAGTGTATAGACATGACATTGCCGTCTATTCAAAATGGAGGGTTGGATAAAGAGGAGGATAGAACCACTATGCTATAAAAGAAACATAGAAAGCTTGCCCATTTATAAGATCTCACGAATTTTGGGGATACAACCCTTTATCCTAATTACCAACGTCAGGAAATACAAAAAATTTCAAATTCATTTTGAAAAAACAACATTTTAAGATAGAATGGAGACCATCCAATATTTGCCAATGTTTAAAAACTCAAAAGTCAATTTTGATTTTTTTAAAAAAAAAGTCTCGTTAGATACCAAAGTTATAGATCAAAACACCGCTCTTAAACTCTTTCAGCAAGGATTTAAGATAGAAATGGAGACTATTCAATATTTAACAGTATTCAAGAGATAAAATTGAAACTTTTTTAAAAAAAAAACAGTAATCTCAGGATTCTTATTTGGATCCCAAAGTTATAGATCACAACAAACCTCCTAAGTAGATCTTTCGCGAGGGTGTACGTGTACAGCATGCTGCCATGGGGGAATGCCATGCCCTCTCTTATTGTATAATTATAACTGCATTTAAGGACAACATATATATTCAAAGAAATGCAAGAATTATAAAAAAGGGCAGGAATGATGATTTATTTCCTCGATACTGCAATATTTACACAACAATTTTTAGAAATATGTTTTGCTTGTCAAACTCTCTCTGGTCAAAGAAAGATGAAAAAGCTTATGAGGCTTCATGCAATTTGGGAAAGGATATGATGCCTGTGAATTTTAATGCAGAATTCAAAGCATAAATATAAATGTGTGCAAGAGAGAGACCACAACATAAAATGAGTAAAAATTCCATTCATTGTGGGTGTTAATGTCACAAGAACTCAAAAGAAAAATAAGGAGAAAAAATGGATGATATGTACATGGGTTAGAATCAGAAATCAAGTAAAATGTCATTCAATGTGAGTTTGTGTCTCACTGGAAGCTTTCTCAGATATATCAAAGTCCAAAAAAATGATGGATGTGTTATCCTTCGTTCGCAGGTTCTTTGCTTGGCTCAACAAAAAATCAGCTATCTTTCCAGGGGCCTTATCATCCTCATTACCATCCTTTCTCTCTCTAAACTGCACAGTGCACATGAACATGAAAAGCTTGGAGAAGGTGTTCTTAAAAGCAAAAATTTGCTTACCTTATGTATAAGCTCGACTGCTCTCTTAGTAGTGAGCACATCCCATAAGCCATCACTACAATATATAGAAAGAGAAACAAAGAAAAAAGACAAAATAAGGGGTCTATAATTTTCCAGTAAATGGAGAAAAATGATGGGTTTGAAATTTGATCACACCTTGCCATGACTGCAAAGGTCTTGCTTGCCCTCTCTATGTGAACAACCTGGCTGACATACGGCTCTGCAATGAAGCGTGTATCTTGTTCTTTCACAAACTTGTCTCCAAGCATACGTGCTATATTGAATCCTGATAGACGAGTAGGAACATGAGAGAGAGAGACAGAGAGAGTACAGATGCTACATTGAATGCTGGCAGATGAACAGGAACATAAGAGAGGGAGGGGAGAGAGAGGTGGGGACGAGGGGGCAGATTTTGCCTTCGAAAGAGTTACAAGCAAAAAATTTAGAGCATGGACAGAAAATATCACCACATAAGCGTGTTAAGCCATCTACTGGGGCAGTTCCAGCTTTTGCTAAACGAGTTATTTCCGACTTACTAGTCAACCTATGCTCCTCTGTTACAGTAATCTGCTTTCCGTTAATGCTGTCAAAAGAAAAAGATATGAACTTCTAGTACAAAATTCCTCTACTTGATGGAGAGAGCAATTCAAATAGATCTATATTATGCTGCAGACCTGAAAACGCTGGAAGAATCCCCAACATTTGCACATTGTGCGAAGAAATCATCATGTGGATCTACCCAAACCAAAAGAACACTTGCAGTACAACCCTGAGAGAAGAATGAACATTATCAGGCATATATATGAAAACCATAGATTTCTCTGTCACAAAAATGAACATATAGAATTTGGGAGAAGTCATAATCATGATGCTAAACCCATTAACCTAATGGTTTAGACTAGAACTTAGTTTTGCACTTGAAGTCTCCGCATGAATACCGTAACACATACAGATTCACAATAGGAGAGGAAAAATAAAAATGATAGTTATTAAAAGATTCCTGTTTTCGCATGGAGTCTTCACCCTAGGCTCAGTGCTTGTGTCAGATATGATTGGACACAGTACGCGTACAGTATGGATTCAACTGGATTTCTCTTTCCAAAGAATCCTAAAGAGAATTTTCTCGAGACACGTGGAGATGTGGAACCTAACATGTCTGGATTCTTATCATGATGTGTCAGGTTCTTCTACCAAAAAGATTAAGTAATATAATATTATATTTGAATATTTATTCATTTAATTATTAAAAATTTTCCTTATTTAAATCTTAAACATCGATAAGGGGTAGGCAACTAAACTTCAAGTTCATAAAATCATAATATCTCCCTATCTATACCATTGCCAAATACTGGTGGATTCCTCACTATAACTTTGCTGATTCTTGGATTCACCCATACCCATATGCATGCAACATAGGAAGGTTCCCTTTCAAAAGCACTTGGATAACATTTGTCGATTTTCTTTATCAAATAGGAGAGAATTACACCTAAATTTATTAAAATTGGAAAGGACAAATACATCTTGTTTCTAAGTAACATACAACAGTGTTCAATTAAACACCCATGGACCCATAGTAAAAGAATGATAATTAAATGTACCCATGCAGTAAAATAACTACAGTTCAATGTTGCTTTAAACATCGCACAAATTGTAAGGTCCTTCAATTTTATTTGGAATAAGTTTATATAGAGCTGAGGCTCTAAACAATCAAATTGGAGCCCACCTAAAAAATTTCACGAGAAGAGGTGGTTTTGAAGCCCAAATATCCTCAAATTAATCATCTCGACATCAAGATGCATGGACATGAGAAAAAAATGGATTTCAAATTTTAGAAATAGTGCATCTTGTAACGCATTTTTTGGCCGTCAATTTTCAAGCTTCTCAAGTTTCTTAGATCTGCTCGATCTACACTATTTTTGAAGCTTTAAACTTTATGATTAAAGATGAAAATATATTTTAAGGCTATCACAAAGATTTCCAGTATTGAAACTACATTTTTTGACACTATTTGAAGGTGAGCTTTACTTTGATTGTTTAGAGCCTCGGCTCTATACAAATCGCACCCATTTTATTTTAGGGGAAAAGGATAGAATCTAGCCAAGGGTTTCATACCACAGTATAATTACTATTTTTGTGTGGAAAGTGTAGGAGCGGCATGTAAGAAATCGACATGACACATGACAGAATACACTAGATCTACAAAGGATCCAGATTTTAAACAAACTGACAATTTTCTTACAGAATTCTAAAACACAGAGAAATGTCCTATATTTGCTAAAAAACCAGCTCCACTTGATAAGAAAATAGCTTCACGTGACAAAGAAAAGGAAAGTTTCTTGACAAGCCAACAGAAAAACTGTCATCTAGACAGACACTAAAACCTGGAAGCAGACTACCTTCAGGTAACACTACTGAGGTGAATAATTTCCCGGTATTGTGGAGGAAATAATGAGTAGGGGAAAGGAAAGGGGGTTCTGGAAATAAAGAGGAGAACTTTGATGGCATTATGGAGAAGCAAGAAAGTGTAATCTTGGTTGTGAATCAAAAGTGCTATGGATAGCCTTGGATAAGACGAAATGCCGAAATCTTGAAGACGTAATCACCAAACTGTTTCCTTTGACATTAATATCTAGTGGTACATTTAAATTACAGCATGAGATGCGAAAGAGAAATTGATAATTTTCATATGGCAACATTCAGTTGTAATCACAGATATAATAAATTGGAGAAAAAAACCTCATACTGATGAGTCAAAGCAGCTTCTGTCTGACTGAATGCGTCCTTGAGGACTTCGGAAGCATCACAATAGGAAAAGACTTTCTGTCTTCTTTCTGGAGTCAACAGGATATCAGCAACCACCTTAGGCAGCATTCTGGATAACAGAAAAACAAAACCAAATTATCACATTAAACATTATCCCAATCTGACACAAAGAAAGAAATGTTGCTGCTAACACAAAAATGATTGTCATAAAGAGTTCCCAAGATGGATATGCACAACTCTGCTGAAATTTACAAGACATTACCAAAGTCATGGAAAAAATCCAGATGTTCTCCAATAACAATAATGATTTTACCAATAAAATAAAGAAATTGTGCCATGAAATTATTTTTCAGTCATTTACTAGTATTTAATGTAATCTATATTTGGGTTCAGGTATGTTCCTTTACCTTTCCTTCTTAGATGTTAAAGGCGTAAAAACCACTCAATTGTGTGTGCCCAGAGTTTTGAGATCTAAGAGGAACATGAGCAAACACGAAATTACACAAAAGATTTCTTTTTGAGAAAACTTTCTGCAAAACTTCAGGTGCTCAGATTTTAAACTTCCCGCATTCACCCGATATAATGTTTCCCGTGTGAGACTGTTAGACTCCATTTCAGTTGAGTTTCAAACCACCAAGCGGACCTAACACAAAAGAAAATACATTGAATATCCTATTTTCGGATGCAATTATTGAAGAAACAAGGCCTTAGTGGCAGAGACAATGTCTCATGTGTGAGACAGACTCCACTGCGGTCGAGTTTCAGAGCACCAAGATGACCCAACAAAAGAAAAATATGTCGAAGAGCCTATCACATTTTCAGATGCAATTATTGGAGAAACCATGCCTTGGTGGCAGATGGAGTGAGGGAGGGTGGGGAGAGAGAGAGAGAGGTACCAGAGATGAACTCGGTACAGAGTGCCAAGGAACATCACAAAGACTCCCTTTTTTTGAAAAATTATTGCCAAGCACATTTATTAAAAAAATGTGCAAATACTACATACAAGCAGACATATGTAATTTTAACTGCATGGGCTTCGGTCAATTAACACCATCCTACAACCCAATCATATAAATTGTTCCTCATTGAAAATATTCAATAAAGGCCTGCAAATCACAAGTTCCTACACCTGTTCAAATCAATTTAGATTTCCCCCTTTCCATGTCCCCTTCTTTGTCTTTCTTCTAATCTTAATAATTATACAATATATCCCTCACTGCTAATAATACATAAAACATGCAGTAGATGATTTACATCCATTAACAGAAACAACCCACTTCCAATTTGTAAATAGCTCAATCTAAGTTGCTGATTACATTTCCATGAAGCAACAAAGCTATTTTACATCATCTTTATGGAAGCTTGGATACTTCTTTTTTTGTTTTTTCCTTTTTTGGACAGGAAAAAAGGAACTGCCGAAATAAAGATGGTGCAAAATGATTTGAGAGGTGTCTCATAAATTTGCAAAAATCAATGGAACCTTTTGTGGGTTTTCAAATTATCCATCAAATAAACACAAATGTCACATATAAAGGGAAAAAGACTTACTCACTAGCATCCTTCGCTGCTTTTACACCACTATGACCGTCAAAGATGCCAAATAGTCCAAACTACATACATAAAGGTGTCAGTAGAGGACAGTTAGGAAAAGGAATGCCAAATTGCAAAACACAAAGTCGCATTTCAAAGCTGAGAACCTGCGGGACTCCAGGCAGAGGCCATTGGCAATAGCATACATCTTCCATAGGATGCTTCTTTGCTCCCCTTCGCACAGCCATAGGATCTGATGCCACTCCTACGCCAAAGGGACAATTATGTGCTTCATGTTTCACAATTTGAACCTACAAGATTAAAGGAAGAATGTGCATATTAGGTAGGTGATGGAATTTCTTATTTCCATTCAGTACCTGAGATGCCAATAAAGCCTGGATTAAACCGCATGGGCAGGCACAAATCAGATAAAATCCTTGTAAGATGAATTGGATACGACAATTTTCATTGCATAAGCAATATTCCTGCATGATTAACTTTTTCTTTGATAATTGGATTCACTGCAACAGTAAATGACAAAATCAAATGGCCACACAATTCCTTCGTGCAGATACAGAAGTAGAAACAAAATGGGATATTGATTAACTAGCAGTGCACAAATGGGATTGCAGACACTACAGTAACATTCGGATCTCAGTACCATATGCTAAGAGAAACACCCATGTGCTTAATCACATACATCCGGCATGCAATTCATATGATGGATGCAAATATCAGATGTGTATGTATTTACAAATGTATGCATAAATGTATGTTTTTATTAAAGTCATACTAGTGGGTTATGTTCCAACTCACTTGCACTTTTGATGTTGAGCCAAGAGTAATTATGTCTCCATCAGAAAGCTCAAAGGGATGACTCCAATGCCTGATATTTGATTCTTGAAGGTGTATGGCCTGGGTATTCAAAACTGTTCCATTCAAGCTGCCCATATCCACCAACTCCCATTTCATTTTCTGTCAACCAGTGTTCCAGGCTGTAAGAAACTGATCACTTGATTTTGTGCATGTGTTTTGTCTGTGTGTGTGCGTGAGAGAGAGAGGCATAAGACAGTTACCTTTGCATCCCAATTTATCATTGCATGTTTCCCAGAAACCCCTGAGTCATTCAATAATAAATTACAGGGTTGAAGTCTCCCAAGAGTAAAAGGAAGTGCAGATGCATTTGTTGACAATACCGAGAAGCGAATTCCACTGGAGGGACCAGATATAACTTCCAGAGTCAAGCTACTTCCTGCACTTCATACAAAATGGTATGAACGAAATACTTGGCATACTTAAAAAGGAAAGTATACATAATCCAAAGGAATATGAAAAAACTATGGTCCATTGGGTCATTAATGTCCCTCCCAATTGCAATTACCCAATGGTCAAGACTCCCCAATTACACCATGGTCAAGACTTTCCCATAGAAATCTCATATGCCCTTCCTCCCTCCCTCCCGATTGCAATTACCCATTGGCCACATCTTTCCTATAAAATTCTATAAGTTAGATGATAGTGTATACTTTCCCCAGTTCCCCAGATAAACACAGCGCATGTTGTTTAATATATCTATAAATCACGGTCTAAACTCATGAATGCCATGAAATGGTGAAATTTCAGAATAAAAACATACGTTGAACTGAATAGTTCTTAAGCAATGAAAATTGATATGGTCCATCTTTGTATATGACACCAGCAAGGCTGGGTTCTTTCTTCTCATCAAACTTTTCCTCAACAGGCCAGCTTTTCCCCACTGCATGTTTAATCGTTTGACCAACTTGCAAATCTTCTAAACGATCTGAAATATCCAGAACTACGCTACCACCTTCAACAAGAAAGTAATAATAATTTAAAATTTTAGTAGATCATAATATAAAAGAAAGAAAAGAACAGTAATCCCTGAGAAGTAATATGAGCAGAGAGGTTGATGACATCTCGTACAATGCACCAAAAATATTCAATAGACCATAAACAAATGGCTTACCTTGATCTACACCTGCATTTGTAGGTGGAGGACTTGGTGCACGCAGTTGATGTTGAACAGCTTCCTCTGAAGCATGAAATCCAGCAGAATCACTTAGGCTGTCCGAGTCATCCGAAATAAGTGGTTTCTTCAGGTCATTATTAGCCTACAACAGTAAAACCAAAGTGAGCATTGTAATAACTTGTTTTTCTTTTCATAAGTGGGAGTATTTTATTGAGAATGCATAAAGAAAATATACAAAGTATGTAACAACCAAGAAGTTATAAAAACTGACGAAAAACACAGGGCTCCAAATTAGCCAAACCAACACCACCAAGTTATAATCAATGAGCAAAGAGAACACCCAAAATAGCATATCAACAATGTCACTATGATCATAGAAGGCACCAACCCAATGTCAATGCAAACAAATGTCCAAATCACCAAATATTCCATGATTCAGGGAAATTGAAAACTGCTCCATATAGGACATCATAAGTCCCATCTCCCAATATTGCCCAAGTTCCAGTTCAGCCCATCTGCCTATTACCCCCAAAATCAACAGGTCTAAAAGAATACTTAATGCTCAACTCATCTTAATCAACTCCTGAAATTGCGTTTTGCCTTATTGCTAGGATACAAGAGAAAGAAGGGGCTACTCCCTTCCAACATTAAGAGGCGAGCATTTTTGGACCAGCTTTGGCACACATGCATGACATTAAAAACTCCGCAATATTAATATAAACAACCAAAGGTAGTGTTTCCACTACCAAAAGAAACACTATTGGCAACCACTACGCAATATCCAAAGCAAAATCCTGTCTTCTTTTGGTCTTAATCTCTCTCCCACAAGCATTGCCCAGGTGTTTCAATAACTGAGAGCCAAACACACAAATGAAAGCACAATTACATGCATAATATCACCAGCCTTCTCCACCTCCCCAAACACACAGAAATTGGTAACTAGAAACCCAAGCTAAAGGTGGCCATTAGTAAGGATCTTATCTTTAGTTCCAATGCATCAAGAGTGAAAGAACCAGAGGTCCAATCAGTGTAGCACCACCTCCCATGAGAAAAATCCATCAGATTCTCTAATACAATTTGTAATACAGTAAAATAGCCTCAAGAATCTAAAATCTCTTCCTAGAAACTCGTTATCTTAATAGTTGTTTAGTTAAGAACTCATTATTTTATACTCCTTCAAGTCAGGTGACCTTTCCATTTCAGACTGCCTATGTCGCTTGTCATCAACTCCACTATCCAATTCAAGAAAACTTCAATTGGAATTAGAAATTTCAAAACAATGAATTAATTAAACTTTAGTTAAATATTCTTATTCATCTTAATTTACGAATTTTTAATTAAACTTTAGTTAAATATTCTTACTCATCTTTTTTTTTATAATGTTAACCTTAAATTAAGAAAGTGGAAGAGTACAAAAGGCCTAGGCAAACCACAAAGTTGGATGCTATAGGATAAGAAAACCAAAAAAGGGAAACCAATAGCCTTCTTTTAAAAGGTTACAGTGTAGAAACAACAACCAAGAAAAAGAAGGTGGTCCAAAAAATCCAGCAAGAGAAAAATGAGAGCTTCTAAAATTCCTCCCGTAAAGCCGCTTCTTTAGCTAGGGCGTCTGCTTCCTGGTTGCCCTCCCTCCAGGTTTGCATCTATGAGATGTCTATATCCCTGCACAAGTAATGAATCTGATCAAATATGTGCGCTAGGGTCCCAGGTGGGGGTGAAGAGGGGATTCTTTGAGCCCACTGAATGGTGTTCTACGAGTCTCCCTCAATCACAATAAAGTTCAGGCTATGTGTTTGTAGGAGCTTTAGTCCTTCTAGGAGGGCATAGGCCGGCTTCCACCGAGTTGGTGTGGCCGATGTAGATGGAGGACAAAGCTACCGTGTTGCCAAAATGGTCCCTAATTATGGCTCCCAACAGACCTGGATTACTGAGGGAACATCCGTCGAAGTTTAGTTTGAGACGATCCTGCAGTGGGGAAGTCCAAAGAGAAGCCCGGTCTGGGCGTTTGTGATTATGTCTTAGGACTGAGCTCCAATCCTGAAAGAATGTCGAGGTGGAGACACCTTTGAAGTTGTGATGATTGGTTGCCCAGAAGACAACTGTGGATTTGAGCTTGGTGAGTATTTTGTTCCATAGGGAGTATTCACCCCGGAAAATTCTATTGTTTCTCTCAATCCATAGAATCCAAATAGAGGCCGCCACCATGGATTTCCAAAATAAAATCCCAGATTTAGGCCAAGGAAACGGCTGGATGGATGAGAGGATGGACAGAACATGTTCTGGAGTGACCCATTGGATCTCGAAAAGACTAATAATTTCCCCCCAAAGGTTGTGGGCGAAGGGGCAATGCAAGAAAAGGTGGTCATTTGTTTCCTTTGCAGCCAAACACAAGACACATCCGTTAGGGAGTGGGATGTCCCGGCGTTTTATTTGATCGATTGTTAGCACTCTTTGGGAAAGTGCTTGCCACATGAAGATCTGAATTTTTGGAGGGGCAATGGAAACCCAGGCATGAGAAACCGAAGATGAGGAAGCAGTTGGAACCGTTGAGACCTGTGAGAGACTTCGATAGAACAAGGAGACCGAGAAAATACCAAAACCAGCAGGGGACCAAATGATGCTATCTGGGCCACTGTGTGCCAGAAAGATGGCCTGAAGTGGGAAACTTCCAATTCGTTAAGATCCCTTCTGAACACAGGGTTCCAAGATCTCGAAGACCCTGCCAGAACCATCTCGTCTTCAACAGTAGCCCCCCGTCTACGAGCCAGAGAATATAGATCAGGGAATCTATCCTTGAGGGGGGGGTGTGGCCCAACCAAAGGTCCAGCCAGAAAAGGATACGATTCCCCCTCTTTGGGGTGGAACCTAATGTGAGAATGGAAATGTTGATGTGCCCCATAGATGGATCGCCAAATTCCAGAAGATCTCTGGTTGGGTTTGAATTCAGGGATCCAAGGTGAGGTAGGTATTCGATATTTATGATAAAGAATGGTGGTCCACAGTTAGTCCCTTTGGGTGGCCAAGCGCCAACTCCATCTGCCTAGAAGGGCCACATTTTTCTTTCTAAGATTTTTGATCCCTAGTCGCCCCCTGTTTTTTGGGAAGGCAGAGTTTGTCACAGGCGATAAGATGAAATTTGTTGGAGGACGCATCCCCAGACCATAAGAACCTTCTCATCAACTGTTTTATTCTAGCGTTAATGGCTACTGGCATGTGAAACAAATACATTTGGTAGACTGGTATGCTAGCAAGGGTGGCTTTGATAAGGGTTAGTCTACCTCCCGGAGAGAGGAAGCAGCTTTTCCACCCAGCTAAGATCTACGATCTACATTGTCAATTATGTGAGACCATCTTAATTATGTCTTTCAATACAAGTAAGGAATCAGGCCTTCTATGTTCGACCAAGATCCAAGAATCTCAAACCACTAAGTGCCATGGAAAAATAGAAAAGGAAATCCAATACACTGAGACAACTGATAATAATGACGCTGATCCAAAAACCCTTTCCATTTCATTCCACTGCAATCACCCATTAAGATCCCTAATTATCTCTCAGATGAGCAATAATGCATAGATGATAACAATTGAAAGAATTTCCCAAAGCATGCCAAAAATATACTCATTCTTTTCACTGAACTAGGTCCCATTAAAACAATTCTTGCATATTTTGAGAGAGAAAGAGCGAGAGAGAGTGAGCGAGAGAGAGAAAGGAATATCAAAATTCTTATGTAAAACATAACTCCTATGAAATGAAATGAACTAAAATTTTCAGATATTATATAAAAAACTGCAAATAAAGAGCATACGCTCACAAATGGTAGCAGTTGTGTATCTGCCAGTACACTTCAGTTTCTCCCCACCTTTAACAACTACAAATAAGAGAAGCGACTCAATTTACCTGATTCCTAGGACTAAGTAGGATAAGTACCTTTAATTCTATGGAATTTCAACTTAGCACCAGTTAGATATGCAAACCTTTCAAGAATCACAAAGCATATCGAGAAAGATATGAGAGAGAGAGAGGGAGAGAGGGAGCATATCAATAGATGCCATGGGGCCCAAAAGAAGAAATTCTAATTAATAAAAAGATTCATCAGACTTATCAAGAAAATGGCCATAAGAAGTGCAATGTGAATCCTCCACTCATTATTCATCCACTTAAAATTGAGTAAAAACAAAGAGGATGTATCCTATTTCAATTCCAAAAATGGAGAAAGAACAAGGACACAATACAATAGCACATAAAGAATTTCAAAATAAGAGAGAAAGAGAGAGAAGAGGGGCTAGCACATAAAGAATTTCAAAATAAGAGAGAAAGAGAGAGAAGAGGGGCTAGCACATAAAGAATTTCAAAATAAGAGAGAAAGAGAGAGAAGAGGGGCTAGCACATAAAGAATTTACAAAATAAGAGAGAAAGAGAGAGAAGAGGGCTAGCACATAAAGAATTACAAAATAAGAGAGAAAGACGAGAGAAGAGGGGCGTAGCACAC